AGAGAGAGAGAGAGAGAGAGAGAGAGAGAGAGAGAGAGAGAGAGAGAGAGAGAGAAGCGTAGGATGTGGAACGAGAAGTTGTACAGTTAGCTGAGAATCACGCGATTGGGGATTAAACCGTGACAAGTTTAACGTTCGATTACGACGTTGACAGACGCTTACACCGGCGTCGATGTGTACTCAACGCTAAATAAATGAATCTCTCTAACCCGTTCGGTTCCTCTACTTCCAAAGAGGAAGAGGGAGAGAGGGGGGAGAGAGGAAGTAACTAAACGCGACTGGTGCTATCAATGGATCCCGAGTTTCCTTATTCTTCTCGTATTACTTTCTTCGTTCCGTATCGTAGGAATATTTCTTTTACATTCTGTGTACCCTTTCCATTCTATAGGGAGACTATCGCGACAGTCCGCTTTAGGCGATTTCTATCAGTAAAGGAATTTACTTTCTTCGGAGAGTTCCCTGAATTTTCTCCACAACGAATATCGATATTAGCGGTCGAGGGGAGCGGAGATGATTTGGGGACGCGCTAGGGCCGCGGGTTTCGGATCGTTCGTGGCGACGCGACGCCGGGAATATTCTAAGGGCTAATAGAACCTTTGCCGCGATTCTTTAACAATTTTCGAGCGGAATTGCAAATCAGGGCTGCAGCTGTTCAGTAAAATGGTGGAATTGATTTTTGATTTGTCGGGACAGCGTGGGCTTCGCCGATTGAAGCTGTCTGTCAGAAATAGACGGAGGATACTGATTGTATATTGTGTTTCGATTAAAAGGTGCGTTTCCAATTATTGATTGATGATCGCGACCGATCTCGCTGTAAGATATTTGTAGATTATTTTGATTGGAAATACGTATCAAATATTACTATGATATCAACATGTTCAGATTGAGAAGTGTATAGTTTTATTTCGTTTAAAATCTATTTTCCGTTGAATATTTTTGATAATTATGGGTTATTATATTTTTAACATAAATATTTTTTAAATCTAGTTAGAAGCGACTATGGTGTCGTATAGTTTTGTTTTCCTCGATATTTACTCGTGACTCCCTGAGCTTCCGCCACTGTGCAAGTGGATACAAAAAAGAAAGCGAAAATAATGTGGACCTAACCTAAACCTAACCAATATCCAAAATTCCCAATAAAAATACTTTAATACCATTCAAAATATTTCTAAAAGAAATCCACAACCACTAACAAATTTCATATTTTAAATAAACACCTTCCTCACACTTAACAGTTCGGTTTAATCCTCCTCTGTCAGACTCGCGACGAAAATTTTAAACTGAATTTGACAAGTATAAGCGTCATTTATTTTTTCAAAATCTAAGTTAAATATTAATCATTTGCACTTGATTTACTTTCAATGTTGTTGTAAACTTGTATTTATTTTTAGAGTAATTAATGAAAGTACCTATTATTATTATTATTATAAGATTCAATTTTTAAAACAGTTTATAATTGCCACCTCCAGCATGACATACGAGTGCAAAGAGTTAATTTTCTATTATCAATCGTTACCATTTAGAGTAAACGTAGACGTAGCATAAGCGTCAGAATTTTTTTCCCGAATGAATTATTAACGATAAAGTAGTTATACAGATCACAGTTAAATAAATCATAAGGCAAGAGGTTAACCTTGATCCCAACCGAGTCAAACCACATCCACCGAAAAGCCACCGCGCATCAAACATTTTTTCAGGAATCACCTTCCAAAGCCTCATCAAGATCCCTCGTTAGCCAGGGCCGCAGAGAGACCGCAATAAATCACTGGCACATTCACTCCAGATTATCGTCGTTGCACGTGAACGCGGTCCACCCGTGAAGCGGGGGAAAGAATTCGGCCGATCGTTAGAAATTATATAAGCGGATCCGGCTTTAAGGACTGCGCGAAGAAGATCCTAGTTCCTTCATAAATAAACACAACTGCCCGAACAGCTGGCACGGACGTAATTCATCGCGAATTAATTTAAGGGCCAAGCCCCTCTCTCTCTCCGTCCTCCTCTCTCCCGAGGCCCTGGCGCTTCAATCCCCCCAACCCCTTACTACCCCGTGTCTTACCTTCTTACCCGCGGCGGGTACTTTCATTAAAGGTCTGCCGGCGCCATTTGGTGGCCCGCTTTATGCTGATTTTATTTCCTTTCTTTCGAGAACTTCAGATCCACGGTAATTGTGCGGTATTATTACCCCTCGCGGTGGCGTAATGGCCGTGTGAAATATGGCCCATCGAACCTGGGCCGTGCCGCACCTCGTGAAGAGGATTTCACGGTTCGCTGGGAGTCATCGTCAGCCACCCAGCGTGGACTTCATCCGTCCATGGAGAGACGGCGACGCGGCTCGGCTCGGCTCGGCTCGCCGGGCTTCTTCCGAGTCGTTCCGCTCGCGGGTATCACGGACAAGTTTCGACGGTGGCTGCGTTTCGGTTTGACGCGGGATAATGCACTGCTATGCTTCGGAAGTTCTCGGTCTCGGATTGAACGTTGGAGACGTTGTACTTTGGTTGGGTTCGCTGGAGGAAGAGAGGGGCTCTTTGTAACCGTTTGAGAGATTTCGGAAGAAGGGAGTTATGGTTTCGAGGGTTTTGTTTGGAAAAATTTAGGAAAGAAGTTATGGTTTTGGTATTTCAGTTTTTGTTTGAACATATTTGGGAAGGAAGGTAGTTTTGATGTTTCATTTGAAGAGTCTTGTGAAAGAAATTATGTTTTCGAGGGTTTTGTCTGATAATTTTGAGAGACAAAGGTTGTGCTTGTTGTATTATTTGATTGTTTCATTTATGAATTTAGTAGCTCGGGTTTTGGGATTGAAGGTTGGAGACGTTGTACTTTGGTAGGGTTTGCTGGTGGAAAAATGGGGTTGCTTATAATTGATGGACTTAGGGCGTTATGTTTTTGATATGTTTGAAAGAATTTGGGAAGGAAGTTATATTTTTGGGATTTTATTTGTAGAATTTTGAGGGGGAAGTTATGGTTTTGAGGGTTTTGTATAAAATATTTTGAGAGAGAAAATCTTCTTGTTTATTATTTGACTATCTTGTTTGTGAACTTCTTTGTTGTTTTATTCTTTAAAGATTTGAAAGAGAGATTGTTGTTTTGACGTCTTATTTGAAGAATTTCAAGGGGGAAAGTGTTACGTTTTTGTTGTTATACTTTAGGGTTATTTACTTATAAGGGCTGAATGTTTTTTTTGTCATTTGATACATAAATGTGATATTTAATACATAATAATGATATTTGTTGATGGATAAACGTCGAAGCTGGTTGTTAATAAAATATTTAACACAACATTTTTTTATTGGCCATTATTTATGTTGAAGAGAAAACAGATTTCAAAGATGAGAGTCATAAATATTCTTTTTCATATATATATAAGAATTTGAAAATCTTTTTTTAATCCTAATTCTATCTTATAGTTCAAAATTTGTCACCTGGATATCCTTTTAATTTAAAATTATATATAAATCTAATTTACATCTCTTAACAATATGTAAATTAACTTTGAAAACATAACGGACAGGCACATAACAATTATACGAGACAAGAATTACATAAACTTGAATATCAAATTATACAATCCTTTTACACTCATCAATCGCTATAATTGTCCAAAGGACAATCGAATATTACATAATTCCACATTTCAGATAACCTCCGAATGGACTTGAAAAGCATTTCATAAAACGTTCTCTTTCATCTACATTCGAATTAAGTTTCAATTTACGGTTCACTTTTACAGAATAAATCTGCCCAAAGGTTGCAATAATATTAATGAAAAATTAATTCGAAATATTCTGCTCCTTACGCAATAATTTTCCATTGACGGTTTCGAAATTCCGGTCTGTCATGAACGATCCGAAAGCGCGGCGATGGATTAATTACGAAAAGAAGATCTCTCGATGTCGAACATTCGCCCACGCATTTCTATATGTACATACACATATCTATCTTAACGATTAGGAACATAGCGAGTCGTTATTTCCGTTTCGTTAGGCGTTTTTAAAGGGAGATTGGAAATATATCACGACACAAGGCATATCACTCGAATGTCCGATTGGTTCCGATGTCTATGACTATTCACGCTCTGTCTCTACTTTCAGAATCTCCTGCGAAAACAGAGACAATATCAGTATGTAAAACTTTATCCGAGAGAAGGCGAAAGGGGAAATCGTTTATAAGAGATTCTGCGAGGTGAATAACAATTAACCAAGTACTTTCGTGTTACGTGTGTGAGAGCATTCGTTATTATACATATACTCAATGTACAATTTGTATGAATAGTTGCTTTACGATTTCTACGCTATCTATCATGGAGTATATGTTACATACAGACTAATCTAATCATTTAAACTACATAATCGATCATTTATACTATGTTTAAGAATGAAAGATTAGAGTTGAAGTTTCACTTTTGGTTTTCAGTGTTATTTCAATCATACCACTATTGAAATTCTGATATCTCAGGTTCTCAAGAATTATCTCTGCAACAAATGTTGATTTTTATGTGTAATTTTATTGTAATTATTATTTAACGTTCTATTACATATTATGTAATTATTTGTTACATCGTTTCTTTGTTATCAGTAAATCAGAGGTAC